AGTGCCAAGCTACAATTTAAAAATGTCACTGATGCAGTCATGGTCAAGCTGCCAATTTGGAAACAGGAAAATTAGCATATGATAACTTTTTGCAAATCATGGTGAGAAGGATCAGGGCTGTTGGGGCATTTAGGAAAAAACATGTTATAACCTTACATTATACCTTATATGAAAATAAATCTAGAGCAGATTCAGATCTAAATGTGAAAAGCAAAACTATAAAAGTAACAGAACATGAAACAGATTAGTTATTTTTATACTCTTGGCTTGGAGAAGCCTTTCCCACGTGGAAACTCATAAGATACAGCGACAAATCCAACGCCAAAAAAAAGGAAACTTTCTTCATGGGTGAATACACTATAAACCTGAATCCAAAACTGGTGGCTCACAAGGCCAGGGCTTGGTTGCATTTTTTTTGGTCTACAAGATTTTGTTGTTGATTGTTTTTTAAACGGAGTAAGTTGCCAGCACTTAAACATGGTGCTACCAACAGCCGGGCGTGGCAGCGCGCGCCTGTATGTAGTTCCGGCTCCTTGGCCGGCTGAGGCGGAAGGATCGCGGAGCCCAGCAGGTCGACTCTGGGGTGGCTGTGAGCGTGTCACTGCACTCCAGCCTGGGTGACAGAGTGAGACTCCAACTCAAAAAAAAAAAAAAAAAAATTGGGGCTACCTGGATGTCTGGCAACACCATTTCCTCACTTTTCCTTGGGAATTACCAGCTGAGGCTGAGAAGGGGAGCCCTCTTTGCCTAGAGCAGGAGCTCTCTGGTTCATCATTACTCCCGCCCACCCCGCCACTCGCCCCAGGGCTTCATTTTTGAATCCTACAGAAAACTAAAGGCAGGGGAAAACATGTGCAATATTACATAACAGAGAAGAAATTAATATCGATATACATATATACATCTAAAATGAATATGAAGAAGACAATTTTTTAAAAACGGGCAAAGACCATTTACAAAAGAAATACAAATGGCGGCCGGGCTCAGTGGCGCCAGAGGTAGAAATATTAATGAAGAAATACCGAAGCCAGAAATGGCCGGGCTCAGTGGCTCAGCCTGCAATCCCCAGCACTTGGGGAGGCCGAGGCAAGTGGGTTGCCTGAGCCCGCGGGTTCGAGATCCGCTTGGGCAACTTGGCGAAACCTCATCTCTTACAATTAAAAAAAAAAAAAAAAAAAGCCGGGCGTGGTAGCGCGCTCCTGTAGTTCCGGCTACGTGGAAGGCTGAGGCGGAAGGATCGCGGAGCCCAGCAAGACGCCGGAAGCAGCCACTGCACTCCAGTCTGGGCGACAGAGTGAGACTCCAACTCAAATAAATAAATACATTTTTTTAAAAATTGTTTTCATTATCCAGGCGTGGCAGCCTGCACCTGCAGTCCCAGCTACTGGGGAGGCTGGGGTGGAAGTATTGCCTGAGCTCAGGAGGTTCGAGGCTGTGGTGAGCTGTGACCATGCTACCACCGCACTGCAGTCTGGGAGACAGAGTGAGAGCCAGACTCAAAAATAAAATACATTTTTAAGAAATGATCTGCCAGGCGCGGTGGCTCAGCCTGTAATCCCAGCACTTTGGGAGGCCAAGGCAAGTGGATTGCCTGAGCCCACGGGTTCAAGACCCACCCCGGCAACTTGGCGAAACCTCGTCTCTACAGTAAATCCAAAATTAGCCGGGCGTGGTAGTACGCCTGTAGTTCCGGCTACTCGGAAGGCGGCGGCGGAAGGATCGCCAGAGCCCAGCCGGGCGAGGCTGCCAGGGACAAGGAGCTTGGCACTGCACTTCAGTCTGGGCGACAGAGCGAGACTTCAACTCAAAAAAAAAAGAAAAGAAATACAAAATGGCCACTAAACATATAACAAGAATAATCTCCTAATCAGGGAAAATCACACCACTGTTTTGGCCATTAGGTTTTTTGAAAAAAGAAGATGATACTATCTTGGCAAGAGTATAAGGAACTGGCAAGTTCAAACACTGTTGAAGAGAGGAAATTAGAACAATTTTTGGATGGGCAATTTGGCAACAGTTACCAAATTTTATTTATTTATTTTTACATTTTGTATAAAGATGGGACCTGTGTTGCCCAAGCTGGATTGTGCAGTGATTATTTTCAAAGGCACAATCATAGCATAATGCAGCCTTAAACTCCTGGAATCAAGTGATCCTCCTGCCTCAGTTCCCTAGGTACCTGGGACTACAGGCACACACCACTGTGCTTGGCTTTACCAAAATGTAGAACGTGCATACATTTTGCCCTACCTGCACAGGAATGCCAGGAATTTTACATATGGCACTAACTCACAAATGCTTACTATGATACACATACATATTATAGGATATTCAATACAGCATTGTTTATAATGGCAAATGGAAGTAACCTAAAAGTTCACAAAAAAGGGAAAAGCTAATTACATTATGGTAATGCTACACAGCCATTAACAAGAGTGAGATGGATCTACATTTGTTGATGTAAAAAACTCTTAGATACAGCATACTACTAAGTGAAAATATCAAGTGTCCTAATGATTGCCATAACCTAATCAATTTTAGAGTAAAAGTAAATAATTATAAGGTGATACACACCCCCACATGCACATGAATATATACTATTTTCCCCCATTGCTAAGCACTATCAACATACTTATACAGTTGACCCCTGAATATGGGTTTGAACTGTGCAGATCCACTTATAAAATTTTCTTCTTCCTCTACCAACCCTAAGACAAGCAAGACCAACTATTCCTCTTCTTCCTCAGCCTACTCAACGTCAAGATGATGAGGGTGAAGACCTTTATGACCCACTTCCACTTAATAAGTAAAAAAAGTATTTTCTCTTATTTTCTTTTCTCTAGCTTACCTTATTATAAGAATACAATATAGGATACATATATTATACAAAATATGGGTTGACTGTTATTGGTAAGACTCAGTCAGTAGCAGGCTATTAGTCAAGTTTTTGAAGAGTCAAAAGTTATACGAATTTTTGACTATGTGGGAGTTGGTGCCCCTGACCCACTGCTGTTTTAAGAATGAACTGTATTTAAGGATATATATAATTTATAAACGCAAACATGTTTATACACTTATAATGCATAAACACGTCTGTATATACACTTATGCTTTTTTTTTCTGTACCCTCTGAAGGCAGACATGCTTTTTACTCTATAGGTTTTTGTGTCATTTGCAGTTTTTCTAAGAAGCGTATATTCATGCATTACTTGAATGCTTTTTTTTTTTAAAGGACAGAAAGGGCATTCCTAGGAAAAAAAGACTAAGACTTGTGAAGAAAAATGAAGAATTCTGTGAGGAGTTGTGGAGCCAAGGATGGCATGCTGAGTACCAACTGATGTAGCTGGAGACACCTGTACATGAAGAGTGAGAACCCTGGACGTCCATCCCTGATCAGAGCACCACCTGTAACCATTCAATGTTACTTTGAGTCAACTGCAGCTCTCAGAATCTGCTTAAAAATAACACTTCTGATACCAAATTTTAAATATGATTATCATCACAATGATGCATTAAAAAAGGGCTGGGGCCAGATGTGGTGGCTCATGCCTGTAATTCCAGGTGTTTGGGAGGCCAGGAGTTAGTTTAAGACCAGCCTGAGCAACAAAGAAACACCCTATTTCCACAAACAAATTTAAAAATTAGCTAGGCATGGTAACACACACCTGTAGTAGTCCTAGCTACTTGGGAGGCTGAAGTGAAAGGACTGCTTGAGCCCAGGAATTCGAGGTTACAGTGAGCTATAATCGCATCACTGCATTCCAGTCTGGGGTACAGAGCGAAATGCCCATCTCAAAAAAAAAAAAACAGGGGTCGGGGGCTGGCCACTGTAGTTATTGCCTCTAGGAGTAGGGAGTAGGAGTGATAGTCTTTCTGCTCCTTTATTCCTCTTCCATTTTTCTATAACTATATATTATTTTTATCAGAAAAAATGCACTTTCAAAACAAATTTTATATTTTAGAAGCAAAGCCAGTGTTCCCCAAATAACCCCTAGCCTAGGAGAAGCCTCAAGTCGAGTAAATATGTATAAAGAATTCCCCATGACTGTTAAGATGTTCTTTGCCTAGCTGAGTCCTCCAACTCCTTGCTCCACATTTCAGGCTAGAGATGGAAACAGGTGGACGGGAGGAAAGGGTATTCCTGTCCTTTCTTGGGGTATGCTGATTCCCTCCCACTTCTGAATGGCTCTGAGGCCTCCTGGGCTCGCCTATCTTCACTTCCTACCATCTCTTCCTTCATTTGCTCCTTGTCTTGTTTTCATATTCCTTTCTTCACTCTTTTCCCTACTTCCCCAATCTCCTCTTTTTCTTCAAGTCACTCATGTTCATGGTGGGAGGGATTTGCAGGATGGGAAGGGAGAAGGCTGGGTGGATGAAAATATTCCAATTCTGCAGTTCACCACTGCCAGGCTCAAGCTTTGGTGATGATGGCTGTCCGGCAAGGAAGTAAGAAGCAAAAAAGAGAATAAAAAAATAAGAAAGGCAATCCTACATGGCAAATATTAATAACTTTCTAGGGGTTATCTTCTGATCATGGATTGGATTGGCACCCCAAGTGTGGATTGGCACCCCAAAGTCACTGACAATAAAAATATCCCCAAAGTCAGTGTTATAGGTTTCTGTCTGGTGTGTCACACTATAATTAGGATCAGATCCTAAAAACTAAAAAAAAAAAAAAAAGGTACAAAAAAAAAAAGAAAAGGAAAGGAGCCGTTTTATTTTAAAGTACCCTTCTAGGAAAAGAAAACAACTTAAAGAAAGCAGTTTTGCCCAAAGGCACAATACCTGTAAAAACTACTCAGCTAGGTGCCTTCACTGGGGCCTGTCTTTGCAAGTCCTTAGTTCATTGGGAACTCTGCCAGAGTCAAAGCCAGCAACACTCCTGAAGATGCCATTCCCACCTCGGCACAACCTACCGTGACTGCTCCGTAAACATAGGGGAATGAGTTAATGAACATGCGAGCGATGAGAGAGAAGCAGCACTCTGCTGGGGTGCTTACCTCTTCTGGTTCATGGAGGCCACCTGGAGCCACTCGTTGGTGCTGGGGTTGTAGGAATGCGCAGCGGAGATCTCCTGGCTGGTGATCCTGTACCCGCCCACTATGAAGAGGTAGTTGTCCAGGATGGCGGACCCATAACCCCTGACATTCACCAGGTCGGGAGGAAGGTTGTTGGCCAGCGGGAACCAACGCTCAGTCATCTCCTCGTACCTGAGCATGGACGGGGGCTCCCCCTGGTAGGGGTGCGGGGCCAGGGGTCCCCCCAGGAAGTCCCCCAGGGCCACGAGGACAGGAGTCCCCGTCATCCGGGCCTCCCTCAGCCTCTGCTTCAGGCCGATGTCCCCTGAAGGCTGGAGAGGAGACCCCAGGAAGTGGAACTGGGGCTTGCACAGCACCTCGTGGAAGTGGACGACCATGAAGCGCCGGCAGGCCTCCTGCAGGTCGGGCAGCCCGTACACCTGCGACAGGCGGTACATCTCCAGGCAGTTGTTGAGCCGCACCCGGGACAGCAGCAGCTGCAGCAGGGACGTGACCTGCAGGAAGGAGGCCGCTTCCACGAGCTCGGACAGCAGGCTCACCTCGTCCATCTCCTCGTCCTCCTCCACCTCGCTGTCCTCCCCGCGCGCGCCCAGGGGCCAGCCCTCGCAGGCCCCGCCGGCG